AGCAGGGTGGTTGAGGAAAGCCTCTGGAAAAGATAGGATTTTGTTAGCAATTAAAAAAAACATACCTGTATTATAAGTTCAAAGCATGCTCGCCCTGGCAGGTGTGGCTCGCCTATGCACCAGGAGATTGCTGGTTCCATTCCTAGTCAAGGGCACATGCCTGAGTTGTGGACTGCATCCCTGGTAGGTAGCATGCAGGAGGCAGCTGATCGATGTGCTCTAGCGTAGATGTTCCTCTCCCTCTCCCTTCCTTTCTCTCTAAAATTAACAATTTTTAAAATATATTTTACACAACATCAGCCCAGCATCACGTGTCTCTCTCGTTCACTTTAAGATTTGACATAGGAGTAATTTGAGTTACGAGCTCCGTCACAGAACGAATTAAACCCGTGAGTCAAGGCCCCACTGTATTTTTAAAGGTGTGGACAGTTAGAAGGCACTTGTTCATGTGGTCTCAGTTCTGTGTCGTAGCGGGGCACCGACGCAGGCAAGGTGACTGTTGCAAACCAACACTGCAGGGCTCAGGGCCCGAGGCTCCCGGGGGCTCCCGGAGGTCCTCACTGCTGAGTCAGCCAGGCGGAGTCCAGGTCCCCACTTCTCCCCAAGAGCTGATCTCATTGGACCACCGGCCTCATCGGACCCCTCACTGCACAGACCACCGAATGGAGCAGAGAGCGTGTGAGGGAGGCCAGCATCCAGGATGAATGCGAGGAAGCCACGTAGCTGGGACTCCTCGCTCCTGAGCCCTCACACTCTGCCGGGCCCCATCCTATTTTAAGATCTTACCTTTTATAGCCTCTCTGTTACATGCTTTCCAATCTAGCTTCTAACGCTTCCTACTTAAGGAAGGGGGAATCATAGCCCCGATGTTATAGGGCCGTGGTCAGCAAACCGTGGCTTGCAAGCCACATGTGGCTCTTTGGCCCCTTGAGTGTGGCTCTTCCATCAAATACCACGTGCAGGCGCGCACATACAGTGAGATTGAAACTTTGTGGCCCATACTCAGAAGTTGGTATTTTGTGGAAGAGCCACACTCAAGAGGCCAAAGAGCGGCATGTGGCTCGCGAGCCTTGGTTTGCCGAGCCACAGTTTGCTGACCACTGTAATATAGGGGATTTCCCCATCCAAAGACTTGTTTAATTTCTTTTTTTTTACTATATTTTTATTGATTTCAGAGAGGAAGGGAGAGGGAGAGAGAGATGGAAACATCAATGATGAGAGAGAGTCATTGATCGGCTGCCTCCTGCACACCCCACACTGGGGATCGAGCCCGAAACCCGAGCACGTGCCCTGACCGGGAATCGAACCGTGACCTCCTGGTTCACAGGTCGACGCTCAACCACTGAGCCATGCTGGTCGGGCCCTCTCTCTCATCATTGATGTTTCTCTCTCTCTCTCTCCCCCACCTCCTTTCTTCTCTGAAATCAATAAAATATAAGAATAAAGCGCTGGGTGTGAGAAGAGCCAGAGATGGAAAACACTTCACCAGTCGTCTCGTGGAAATGCCAAGCTGGGATACCGCACCGGCCGCAGGCAAAGCAAGCACGTGGTTTCCAGGGAGCGTAAGGATGTGAGCTCTGCGGAGCCTGGGTCCTGGCCAGCGCAGTGAAAAGGCCGCTTGCTTTGACCTCTCACAAAAGTCAGAGGAACAGATGGGCCGTGGAGCTGATAGCAAAGCAAGGAGAGTGAAAGCAGGCAGGGATGGGGGTGGGGTTCCAGCTTTGCTGAGGTATAAAGCTCTACGCTGCTGGGTTTTCTTTTAGGGGTCTAAGAAACAGACATCTCTCTCTGTGTTCTCATGCAGTTGGCCACCGTCTACGCATGGTCCTGGATTCCCAGTCCAACACATCACTCTAGGAAGAAGGAAGGAAGGATGGGAGGGAGGGAGTGAGGGAGGGAAGGAGGGAGGGAAGAAGGAAGGAAGGAAGGAAGGAAGGAAGGAAGGAAGGAAGGAAGGAAGGAAGGAAGGAAAAAAGAGAAAAGCCAACAACACTAAGGTTCCAGGTGGGCCATCTGAAACCGTCTTGTTCCTAGGCAACCAGAAAGAGAGACCTGACTAGGCTGGACCTCCAGGTGCACAGCTCCAGGGAAAGGGCAAATCCTCGTGTGTGTGTGTGTGTGTGTGTGTGTGTGTGTGTGGTAACTGAGCAAACAGAAACCCATGTGTGAGATGGAATTTCCATGGCAGGTAAGGGACTGCCGGGAACATGCAGGCAGGAACGCCTGTCTGGCGTTGAACACCTCGCTGCCATCTTCCTGACACTTGAGCCACCTGCACGGAGAGGTAGGGACTTCCCGCTGCCTCTGCCCCTCACAGCGCTCGGCGCACAAAGCGGCTGTGACTTTGTCCCCGGGGGGTGCGTGGCGCTGCTGGGGATTTGGGTTGTCACAGCTGAGAAGAGGGGGCTACTGGCATCTAGTGGGGCAGGGCCGGGGGCTGCCCTGCACGGAATGGCCCCCACAAAAGGAGTGTCCGGGCAAGGCACCGCCTACAGAGCCTCCGACAGCATTGATGTGCTTTGTGAACGGAGACGCGGAGATGAGCCGGACGTGCAGGATGCAGAGAAGCAGAGGGCTACCGCCCGCTCAGGCGAGTAGCAATGCCCCCAAAGCCCTCACGGCTTTTATTTGGGGAGCACAGCAAATAACCATGGAGCACAGCAAGTGACAGTGATTAACAGGCATGCCTGTGAGATCATCTGAGCTAAGTTATACATTACACTATTCATTTCCTATGTTATACAAAGACTCTTTCCACCTGCAGCAGTGCACCCTCCCTTGAACTTTCCATGCCCTCATGGACTGTTTATCACCTCAAGGAAAGTTCTGCCTCTGAACAATAAGTCTTGTTTGCAAGACTCTGTTCTGACGTGGCCTGTTTGCAGGCTCCCGTCCTTTCCTGGCAGAACGTCCTCTTCTAGTTCTCATTCCGCTTGACCGCCACACACAGCATCCTGCGCCTTCCCCAACTCCCCCCGCCCCCTGCCTGGGAAATATTGCCAAGATACTCACACCAACGATCAGGACTGAGCAGATGCCTTTCCATGGCCCCGGCCCCCCGAGGGCGGCCCCCGACTGTATAAGCCACAGAGGCTAGTGCCAACGCGGTGCCCACCACGGAGAGGAGAGGAAGACAAGCCAGCTTGCCTCCCGCCCTGCCCCACTGCTTCTAAGCCAGTGGCTTCCCCAGAAAAATCAGAAAGCCCTTGCCAGCCCCAGCTCCCGTATTTATACACGGATCCGAGAGCTCTTGCCACCAGACGAGTCAAAAAAAGAAAAAGCTAACAGAAGTCTCTACTCTGAAGAACTGTCTGGGGACAGTGAGCCCAGCAAAGAAGCACAAGTTTCCAAAACAAGGGCCGGAGGAGACCACGGTCCCTGCCAACACACACAGACACGAACGCGCCGGGAAAGCTGCCGCACGGAGCCGCCGGGCAACGGCTCCTACTCCGGGGGTCAGGGCCGCTGAACAGTGGAAAAGTGGGGTTCGACTCACTAGCTCCATGGGCTCAGGGAGGTCAGAGGCGGCAGCCGGGGGGCTGTTCCTTGGCATCCCGGGGCACCCCTGACCCACCAGCCTGCAGGTTCTCCAGTGCCAGCATCTTCTCCAAGGATGGCTGCAGCCTCCCTTCGCTCCCCACGGCTGAGATGTGCCAGGCAGATGGTGCCACTCGTATCAGCAGGAGCCGCGTTCAAATACACGCAATTGAAAGTGTTCACGCTGATCCAGAGTGGGAGCAAGCCGGCGATCACGGGAGGTGGTCGACCCCCTCGACCCACCAGGGCCAGACGGGGCCAAGGAGAGAGATGAGCCAGAGACAAGCCCTAGGGAGGGGTGGAGTCACAAGAGATTCAGATTCCTGGCTCAGCCTGTGACTAGCCCCGGGATCCCTGCCAAGCTCTTTAAGCCTCAGTTTTGCCACCTGCAAAATGGAGCTAATCCTATTACTACAAAAAGCAGCTGTGATTAAATAAGATGTATGTATACACCTGCACTGCGAGGGACACGCTGCTCAATAATTAAGCATCCGTTCCCTTTCTACAACCCAGTTTCAGAGTCGTGGGTGTAAATACGAAGCAACGGAGGAGAGAGAAAGACTGGGAGTGGGCTCCGAGGGGGAGGGACAGGGAGGGCAACACCCAGGTTGCACGTCAGCCTGGCTGGGGGCCGCCTCTGGGAGCCGCAGCCTCTCACCCACGCTGTCCAGTTGCTCTCCCCCTGGTCTGTCCCCCTTCTCCACAGGCCTGCTGCGGAGCACCAGGCCCAGCAGGAGAACCGGGACCTGTGACAGCCGAGCCCCGGGGAGGCCCACCCCGCCCTCGTCCAGGCAGCGCGTCCTCTTCCACGAAAGCCTCCCTCACTGTGTCAAGGAGCGCCCGGCCCCTGGGACCCGTCACATCCAAACAGGGTGAGAAGGCAACTCCGGATTCTGTGGGAAAGAGACTTGGGAACCGAACATGCAGCTTTCCTCGGGCTGTTTCCTAAGCAGCGAGCCCCAGGGCCAGCAGACGGGGCCTGTGTGAGGAGGAGGGGAGGCAGGGGCATCCCCTAAAGGCCTCCCACCGGCAAGACAAGATGAGAGTCGGGCACCTGCCCAACAGGCAGGGGCTAAGCAGCCAACCAAGGGGTCAGGTGGCCGCCGTCGGGGAAACGCAAGAGCGGTCGGTCTTTACCTGGTTCGATGCTCCGAGGGAGGGAGAGGGAGAGGCCAGCTCCTGAGGGTCAGGCACGGAGCCGGAAGCCGGGACCATCTGCACACTGCAGGGCAGAGGAAGGAGCACCCGTGGCAAGGGGACCAGACACGCAGAAGGAAGGGTGATGAAGGAGAGGGAACAGGCTGGCAGAGACGGTTCCCAAGTCAGCGGCGGAAGGGGAGCCCCGAGGGACAGAGGAATGGAGGAGACGGGTGGGTGGCCGGCCTGTCGGGCTCCTCCGCTCGCACGTGCTGCTTCTCTGCAGCCCAGGGACCGTCCAGATATTATGAATGTTTCGCCCTGTCCCTCCGGGGGCCGTGACCCCCTGAGCGGAGTGGCCGACGCCAACGTCACTGTTTAAGTCAACAGGACCCGGGGCCTCACCAGTTTGCTTTTCCCAGCTCCGACCAGAACTCAGAAGCCCGTGCGCCTGGCGGAGAACAAGCCGCCCGATTCGGAAACTGATAACGGCCCGAGGTGACCGAGGAAGGAGCAGGGAAGCCGGCGTGGCGGGTGGCGGGTGGTGGGGGCATGCGGCCAGGTGGGTGGTGGTGAGTCGGGGCGCTCGGAAGGGACGGGCTCTCTTCCTCCAGAGAGAGTGGGTGGTAGGAGGCGCCAATTGTTTGGTGACTAATTGGCACCAACTAACAAAAGCAGAAATTACTGCAGATGGAGCTGGAGCTTCATTTGTGGTGGATAATGATTTTCATTTAGAGAAACTACAGTAACTCCCTGTAAAAATAAAACCACTTGCATTAAGCCACAAATAGGTTGTCTATTTCTGCACCGGGCTGTCTGCGAGCAGTGCCCTCCTTCAGGGAGGTGAGGGGAGTTTGGGCGGGGAGGGAGGCACAGAGCCAGCGGAGCTTGGGGAAGTGATGTCTGTGAGCCCCAAAGTCCAGCGTGGAAGCAAGTTCTAGCTTCACCTCCACAAGTCAAGTCACCCCTTTGCAGTTTCCTAGAGAAGCAGCATCCCTCTTCCTCCCCTCAAACAACAGGTAAACAGGGGAGGAGGCCTGGGGAAGGAGCTTACGGGGCAAGGAAGAAGGAAGTTTAGTAACCCAGAGGCCATGGCATGGGCTCATAAGTAGTAGAGTCCATAGTGATGAAGCCCACAGTGATGGAACCCATAGCGGTGGAGTCCATAGTGGTAGAGTCTATAGTGATGGAGCCCACAGTAGTGGAGACCATAGTGGTAGAGCCCACAGTGATGGGCCCATAGTGATGGAGCCCATAGTGGTGGAGCCCATAGTGATGGAGCCCATAGTGGTGGAGCCCACAGTGATGGAGCCCATAGTGGTGGAGCCCACAGTGATGGAGCCCATAGTGGTGGAGCCCACAGTGATGGAGCCCATAGTGGTGGAGCCCACAGTGATGGAGCCCATAGTGGTGGAGCCCACAGTGATGGAGCCCATAGTGGTGGAGCCCATAGTGATGGAGCCCATAGTGATGGAGCCCATAGTGATGGAGCCCACAGTGATGGAGCCCATAGTGATGGAGCCCACAGTGATGGAGCCCATAGTGGTGGAGCCCACAGTGATGGAGCCCATAGTGGTGGAGCCCATAGTGGTAGAGCCCACAGTGGTGGAGCCCACAGTGATGGAGCCCACGGTGATGGAGCCCATAGTGGTAGAGCCCATTAGTAGACTCACAAGTGGTAAAGTTTTTTTCTTCCATCAAAATCTCTCTTGGGTTCCTAGTGAATTCCAGTCACAGCCTAGAATGCATTCCTAAACTTGAATGGACTCTGCTCTCTCTACCCTAGATGCTGAGCCTACAGTTATGGGGAGAAAGCCACTGAGAGGTCCATAGAGCCCAGCCTGACCCTTGGTGTTAGAAAGTGAGAGTTAGAATAGCGAGGGGCTGGGCCATGCCTACGAGAGATCAGCCTGGCCGTGGGTGAGGCAGGTCGGTCCCATTTTCACAGCAAGCTGACAGGCTCCAGAATCAGGACTGAGAAACAACAGGTCCCCACACAGGCAGACAACTGAGTGAGTACACAATGTCTTGATTCACCATTTGGAAGCAGAACAACTTCCGGTATGCTAGAAATTTGGACTTGCAAATTTGACTGGAGTGATGAGTGATTCTTTATCTCATCTGTCTGATTGACAGGGTCTCAGAGCAGGGCTGGGCCCGCCCTCTGCCCTCCAGTCCTGCAAGAGACTTCAGAACTCACTGGTCAGATAAAGTCCGAGATAAAACCCTGAGAACAGAACTCTCCCAGGCTGATCAGAATCCCATCCGCCTCGGGGAGTCTTCTCCGGGCTTCTCATGCCCTGCTCGGTGCTGGGATTGCTTGGATCTCTCCCAAGTCATGACCTTCACTTTCAGTGCACTTTTCTTCCACAACAAATCTCAAAGACAAGTGGCATTCCCCCACCCCCCACCCCCATGTCATTCTCCTCCAACTAGACAGGCCCACCTGGTGGGGCAGGAACCACAGCAGGTGGAGGGGGAGCAAGCCCATGAGAACGTGAAGGGAGCAGACAGACTTCGGGATAAACCCTGGGAAGGGTCCAAGAGAGAGCGGGCTGCAGATTAGAGCCAGCTGTGAGAGGCTGGGTCCCCAGCCCCGAGTTGTCCCCCACCCCCACCCTACGCCCACCCGAATTTGGAATCTGCCAGAAAGGAGACACTTCCCGGCTTTGCAGAGTGATGAGGAGATGCTAAGTGACCCCAAAAGAGGCCAGCTGTCCTCCATCGAAGCCCGCTGTCTGCGCCCGGGGCGGTGGGAGCGTGCGCCGGGGCCGTCCTTACAGACACAGGTATTGGAGGTTCCTTCGTTTTAACAAACGCACGTCTCCTTCGGCTCTGCGTCAGCACCCCATCGGCTGCGCAGACACTGGCCCTCAGGTTCCTCCCCTCGGCTGCAAGCACGCGTCCTCTCGTGTCCAGACGCCGTGAACACATCCGGTGTGAGAAAGAGCAGTCGGGGCGCTGCCTTGGGGCGGGGAGTCTGTCCGACCTCCGCGTGTTCTCCCGTTCAGCCCGCACCCTTGGCCAGCAGTGCCGGCCCTTCACAAGCTGAGCTTTCCAAAGCGTCCTTTGGGGAGAGGCATCAGCTCGCGTCAGGGGCTCAGACAAAGACATGAACGATCAGAGCTGTGTTCCTGGGGCAGCTGTCCCCCAGACTAGTACCTACAGAGCCCCTCCCGGCTCCCTGCTCAGAAGTGGGGCCGCCAGGGCGCTCCTGGGAAGTGAAGATCACAATGTGTGCTACGGTCACTCTTGTTCTCTTTTCCTGCCCGGAAGCCTGAGACACAGATGTAACCCGCCTTTGGACATGGGCCCCATGGCCGCTTCCTGGGAAAAGGAGAATGTCTGCAATTCCAGCGGGGGCAGGGGGCAGAAGACGGCGTAGAGGGGGTAAATGGTGATGGGAAGAATAAAATAAAATATTTTTTTAAATGAAATTATTAATTTAGTCAGAGGCCACGTGTGGGCACCGTTAAACCTGTATTCACTGTCCTTTTTCTGCCAGTGACTGTGGATTTGGGGAAACAGTGTTTTTTCACCTCGACATCCTCAAGGAGACTGGAAACAAGGTCATCTCCAAGTGACAGCAACCGACATGCGGGAACCGCCACGACCCGCTGATGGCTCCGCCCTCCTGAGCCCTGGTTCCCACTCTGCGACAGCTCCGAGCCCTCACCCTACACCCAGCTGGTGCCTACTCGGTCTGAGGCAACTTGTGGCAGCTCACCTGCCACTGCACTCGGTTCCTGTGTCTCGACTCTTTTTAGAGCAGCAGTTCTCAACCTGTGGGTCACGACCCCTTTGGGGATCAAACGACCCTTTCACAGGGGTTGCCTAAGACCATCGGAAAACATACATATAATTACATATTGTTTTTGTGATGAATCACTATGCTTTAATTATGTTCCATTTGTAACAATGAAATTGGGGGTCACAACATGAGGAACCGTATTAA